CTCTCTCCTTCCTTCTCTTTCCCTCTTTCCCCTCTCCATCCTTCCTCCCCTCCTTTCTCCTCCCAACTTCCCTCCATCCATCCTCCCCCTCTTCCCTCTCCCCTCCATCCTCATCTTCCTTCCTTCCTCCCTCCTCCTCTTCCTCGCCTCCTCACTCGGTCCGAAATGTGGTGGCGGACCGGAGCAAACTGGTGGAAATTACTGACACATCGGAATGGACGCAGACATCGATGCGGCGACCGAAGGAGGGAATCATCGGGCGCAGAGTGTCCGAAGTTGGTTGTTTAGCTGATAGGGTGGCGGGGAGGGGGGAGGGGGAGGAGCGGGGTGGAGGAGGGGAGGAGAGGGTGGAGAGGGGGGAGGGAGGGAGAGGGGTGGGGTGGGAGGAGGTGGGTTGAGGGAGGAGAGGTGGTGGTTGGGAAGGAGAGGTGGGGTGGTAGGGAGGGTGGGTGGGTGGGAAGAAGTGTGGTGGTGGGAAAGTGGAGAGTAGGGGAGGGTGGAGTGGGTTCGGGAGGAGGGTGGTTGGGGAGGGTGGATGGGTGGGAAAGTGGGTAAGTAGGTGAGGTGAGGGAGGAGGAAGGGAAGGTGGGGAGTAAGGAAGGAGAAAGAGGAGATGGATAGGGGGGTAGGAGGTGGAAAGGGAGGAGGGGTGGAAGAGGGTGTGGAGGAGAGGGAGGGAGGAGGAAGGGAAGATGGGAGAGGAAGAGGAAGAGGAGGAGCGTGGAAGAGAAGGAGAGAAGGGTAGGAGGAAGGGAGGGAGGAGATAGAGGGAAGGGAGCAGGGAGAAACGGTGACAAGAGTGGATCGTGGAAGGGACGGAAGGAGGGAGGGGGAGGAAGGAGAGTGTGACTTGCGCGAGTGGGAAGAATGAGGGAGGGGAGTGGAGATGAGGAAGGGGAGAGGAGGAAGGGAAAGATAAGGAAGATGTGGAGGAGGGGATGAATTTGTGTGAAGAGGAGTGAGAGAGGGGAGAAGTGCGAGAGACATTGATAAACAGGAAAACAAGAGACAAACACACCCACACCCACACGTACACAACACACACACACACACACAACACACACACACACACACACACACACACACACACACACACACACACACACACACACACGCACCCCCCCCCCATACACACACACGCACGCACACACCACACGCACCCCCCATACTCACACACACGCACACACACAAAGAAAAAAAAAAGCAATGTGACATCAGGAGCGACAGTGAAAGAAAAACAAATTAAAAGGAGATCAAACAGTGACATCGAGACCTTGTCACCAGAACCCTCATCACCGCCAGCATAAAGTGGTGGTGTTGTTACTGTTGTTGTTGGTGGTGTGATGGTGTGTGTTGGTGTTGTGGTGGTGTTGTTGGTGGTGATGGTAGTGGTGTTGGTGTTGTTATTGCTGCTGGTGGTGGTGGCGGTGGTGGTGATGATGTTGTGTGGTGGTGATGGTAGTGGTGTTGGTGTTATTGCTGTTGTTGTTGGTGGTGGTGGTATTGGTGGCGTTGGTGGTGGTGATGGTGTTGTTGTTGGTGATGGTGTTGTTGGTGATGATGGTGGTGGTGTTGTGATGGTGGTGGTGGTGTTGATGTTGCTGTTGTTGCTGATGTTGCTGTTGTTGCTGATGTTGATGTTGGAGTAGTTGTAATAGTTTTTGATACTGCCATTGTTATTATTGTTGCTGTCTTTGATATCATTTTTTTTTGTTAGCATTGTTATCATCGCCCCTCGCCCCACTGCTGTTGCTGTTGCTGTCACTCGCTCCTTCGAAAGAGACCGTTGACAGTGCCAGCAGCTGTTTGACCTCCCCCCCCCTTCGGCCGGCTGTGGTCGTCAGGTGGGCGCCGTGGCAGGTCACCTTATTCATGGCAGTTCGAGTCTCTGCTTGAGTGACTCGCCGACGTGTCCGAACATGTCGAGCGTAGGCGGAGTTGGGGAAATGGGGGTAGGGGGGTGGGGGGGATTGGGGTAAGAGGGGAGGGGAGATTGTGGGGGGAGTTCGAGGTGAGTTAGGGGAGTTGAGTAATTGTTGTTGTGTGTGTGTGTGCGTGTGTGTGTGTGTGTGTGTGTGTGTGTGTGTGTGTGTGTGTGTGTGTGTGTGTGTGTGTGTGTGTGTGTGTGTGTGTGTGTGTGTGTGTGTGTGTGTTCGCGTGCTTGTAAAATGAGTGAGAGTGAGTAGGGTCTGTATCTGTCTGTGAATGAGTGAAGTAAGTAAGCTAATGGTGTAAGGATGGGGAATTTAGAGTAGAGTAAAGGAAGAAGTGAAAGAGTAAGGGAGGTGAGTGAGTGAGTAAATTGAGTGAGTAACACAGGTTTGGGCTGAGGGATTCGAGTGTAATCAGGAGTAAAGGAAGTGAGTTGCAGAGGGTTTGAAAGATGAGTGAGTGAGTAGGTGAGGAGGTGAGTGAGACGCTGAACTGACAGACGAGTAAGCAACCCACACACTTACACGGCCACTTATACGTACAACTCTCAGGCACACCAGACACTTATTCACTCACTCACTGACACACTCACTCTTTCACTCGCCTCTCTCTCTCTCTCTCTCTCTCTCTCTTCTCTCTCTCTCTCTCTCTCTCTCTCTCTCTCTCTCTCTCTCTCTCCTCTCTCTCTCTCTCTCTCTCTCTACAGACACTTTACGCACACACACACACACACACACACACACACAACACACACACACACACACACACACACACACACACACACACACACACACACACACACACACAACACACACACACACACCACACACACACACACACACCACACACACACACACACACACACACACACACACACACACACACACACACACACACACACACACACACACCACGAAGACGATCCTGCAAAGTGGTGCTTCGGACGCCACCAGTGTTCGGTTATAAACATTGTCTCTGGCTTGCGACTCCGCCTTTCGGACTATGACGGGCAACTTGCAAGGGGGGGGGGGGGAGAGGGGTGGTGGAGGGCGGGGGGGGGGGGGGTGGAGGGGAGAGGGTTTGGGGTCATAAGGGTTCGCTACGATGGCTTTGTCTGTGTACTTGTTTCTCTTTGTCTTTTTCTCTCTTATTTTTGTCGCGTTTGTTGGTGTTGTTTTTTATTCGTTTTCTGTTTCTGTCTTGCTCTTTCATTTCTTTGTCTCTTTCTCTTCTTTCACTCTCTCTCTTCTCTTTTCACTCTCTCAAACTCTCTCTCCCTCTCTCTCTCTCTCCTCACTCTCTCTCTCTCTCTCTCTCTCTCTTCTCTCTCTCTCTCTCTCTCTCTCTCTCTCTCTCTCGTCTCTCTCTCTCTCTCTCTCTCTCTCTCTCTCTCCTCGCTCCTCCTCCTCCATGTTTTGAGAGAGGAGAGAGAGAGAGAGAGAGAGAGAGAGAGAGAGAGAAGAGAGAGAGAGAGGAGAGAGAGAGAGAGAAAATAATGGAGAGAGAGAAGAGAGAAGAGAAAAAGAAAAAAATGGAGATTAAGGATTGCATTTACCATTAAGTAGAAACCAAAATGTGAAGGAACAGGTAGATAGAGAGAAAGAATGAAAGAAGGAAGGAAGGAAGGATCTATAATGTATTGGCAATTCTAGAAAAAAAAGGAAATTGACCCTTATTTACCTGCCATCCCCTGTGTTAGAAAGAGATTTTGAGCGTCTAATGTGAGAGGGAGGAAGGGAGGGTGGGAGAGGGAGGAGGGTGGGAGAGGGGAGGAGGGTGGGTGGGATGAAGGAAGGAGGAAGGATGAGAGTGCAGAGAGAAAAGAGCGAGGAGAAGGGTGAGAGGGCGAGAGGGCGGTGAGAGAGCGAGAGGGGTGAGAGAGCGAGAGGGAGGTGAGAGAAGCGAAGAGGAGAGAGGGCGAGAGGGCGTGAGAGACGAGAGGGGGTGAGAGAGCGAGAGGGAGGTGAGAGAGCGAGAGGGGTGAGAGAGCGAGAGGGTGAGGAGAGAGAGGGGGTGAGAGAGGAGAGGGGGTGAGAGAGCGAGAGGGGGTGAGAGAGAGGGAGGTGAAGAGCGAGAGTGGGGTGAGAGAGCGAGAGGAGTTGAGAGAGCGAAGAGGGAGTGAGAGAGCGAGAGGGGAGTGAGAGAGCGAGAGGGGGTGAGAGGAGCGAGAGGGATGAGAGAGCGAGAGGGGGTGAGAGAGCGAGAGGGGGTGAGAGAGCGAGAGGGGGGTGAGAGAGCGAGAGGGAGTGAGAGAGCGAGAGGGGGTGAGAGAGCGAGAGGGAGGTGAGAGAGCGAGAGGGGAGTGAGTGCAGAGCGAGATGGGGGTGAGAGAGCGAGAGGGGTGAGGGGGTGAGAGAGCGAGAGGGTGTGAGGGAGTAGAGAGCGTGAGGGGGTGAGAGAACGAGAGGGAGGTGAGAGGGCGAGATAGCGAGAGGGTGAGGGGGTGAGAGAGCGAGAGGGGGTTGAGAGGTGAGAGAGCGAGAGAGGGTGAGGGAGGTGAGAGAGCGAGAGGGTGAGAGAGCGAGAGGGGTGTGAGAGCGAGAGGTGAGAGAGGCAGAGGAAGTAAGAGGGCGAGAGGGGTGAGAGAGAGGGAGGTGAGGGAGAGAGCGAGAGGGGGTGAGAGAGCGAAGAGGCGAGAGAGAGCGAGAGAGAAAGCTAAGGGGTGAGAGAGCGACGAGGGTGAGAGAGCGAGAGGGGGTGAGGGGTGAGAGCAGCGATGAGGGGGTGAGGAAGGTGAGAGAGCGAGAACGGGGTGACGAGAGCGAGAGGGAGGTGAGAGAAGGGTGAGATGGGGTGACGAGAGCGAAGGAGAGGGTGAGGGGGTAGAAACGAGAGGGGTGAGGGAGGTTGACGGAGAGCGAGAGGGGTGAGAGAGGCGACGAGAGGAGTGAGAGGAGCCGAGAGGGGTAGAGAGCGAAAGGGTGATAGAGAGCGAGAGGGGTGAAGAGAGCGAGAGGGTGCCGTGAGAGACGAGAGGGGATGAGGAGAGAGAGCAGGGAGGTGAGAAGCAGCGAAGGGGGGTGAGAGAGCGAAGGGAGGTGAGAGAGCAGAGGGGTGAGAGAGCCGAGAAGGTGAAGAGCGAGGGGGTGAGAGAATAGCGAGAGGGTGAAAGAGAGCGAGAAGCGTGAGAGCAGCGAGAGGGGTGAGAGAGCGAGAGGGATGAGAGAGAGACGAGGAGTGAAGAGCGAGAGGGGGTGAAGACGAGAGGGGGAGAGAGCGAGAGGGTAGAGAGCTGAGGGGGTGACGAGAGCGAAGAGGGGATGAGAGAGAGAGAGGAGTAAGAGCGAGAGGGGTGAGAGAGCGAAGAAGATAGATAGAGAGAGGGTGAGGAGAGCAGAGGGGGGGAGAGAGCGAGATGGGGTGAGAGAGGCGACATGGGGTGAGAGAGCGAGAGGGTGAGAGAGCAGAGGGGAGGAGAAGAGGAGGGGACGGTTAAGAGAGCGAGAGGGGATGAGAGAGGAGAGAGCGGAGATAGAGAGAGTGCTTAATGTGACGAGAGCGAGAAGGCGGAAGCGTGAGTGAAGAGGCGAGAGGGGGTGAGAGAGCGGAGAGGGTGCAAGAGAGCGAGAGGGGGCGTGAGCGAGCGAGTGAGATACGAGCGACGAGGGTGTGTGATCGTGAGAGGAAAGAGGGGGCGGGTGGGTGTGGGAGAGAGAGCGAGAGGGGGTGAGAGAGCGAGGGATGAGAGAGCGAAGAGGAGTGAAGAGCGAGAGGGGTGAGAGAGCGAGAGGGAGGAGCGAGAGGGGGTGAGAGAGCGGAGGAGGATGAGAAGAGAAGGAGGTGAGAGAGGTGAGCGAGAGGGGGTGAGAGAGCGAGAGGGGGTGAGCGGAAGAGAGGTGAGGAGCGAGAGGGGTGAGAGAGCGAGAGGGGTGAGAGGTGAGGAGGAGACGAGAGAGGTGAGAAAGAGAGAAGAGAGAGATGAGAGATGAGAGAGAGAGAGAGAGAGAGAGAGAGAGAGAGAGAGAGAGAGAGAGAGAGAGAGAGAGAGAGAGAGAGAGAGAGATTGTCGCTTGCCGTCGCGTTCCTAGTTGTGAGATCCCAGCGAGCAAGGGAGGGAAAAATAAATTCACTGACGCATTTAATTCCACTTTTGCGCCGGGGACTCTTCTCTCCGCCGCCGCGAATTTCTTCTGGTTTCTGAGTCTATCGTGGAGAATATTAGGATTGAGTTCTAGTTGGATAAAATCGGTGGATAATTGCATCACAGAGGGTGGCTCTCCTCTCCACTTGGCGACTTGTGGCAACTGGACCCGACCGGCGAAAGGTTCAGATCCGCAGTTCAAGCCAGCTCAAGTCAGTGTCGATGCGGACACCAGAGCGTGAGGTTGTGCGCCTTCTCTCCCGGCGGGTCCCCCCTCGCGGCTCGCGTTCGTTCCGATTCTAAGTCGAGAAAATTCACTAACTCCAAGAAAATTGTGAGTCTCTGACGTGGACACCGTTTAGCGAAAGACCGTGGCGGTAGTGATGAAAGCATTGGGCTTGGATATGTTTGTTTTTTCACACAGGAACGTGAAATTTGCAATTTTTTAAACTTAGTCCCTGGCCGGCCGCGCCAGAGAGGTTAGGACACCAAAGTCCCTTTCGCTCCTTCAATTCACAAGGAACAGCCGGAGAACCCACGGTGCACGCCAGCAAGAGTCCCTCGCAAAGGACACGATCCCTTTATCGCCGCCCATTTCGAGGATCTGAAAGAGAATCCCGGATCGTCGGCGGTTTTGGGGACTTGCACTCGCGAGGGTCGGCGGCGGAAAGTGACTGAGTCGTTAAAGTTCGTAAAGAGGCTCGGAATATTTTTTTTCCTTTTGGGGCTGATTCGGTCGCCTTTCTCTTGTGCCTGAAAGCCTCCGGGTTGGGGGTTTGAACCTGGAGGAGAGTTATTGGATGGGGAGGCTTGGTTTTTCGGTTTTTTGAATATTTGACGGAATAGCGTGGATCCCTCTGAAATTCGGACTTCGGCTCCCGACTCCTCCGAAATCTGCTGGCCAGGAACTCTCGGCTCGCAGCGGAATACCAAAGGGGCTTTGAAGTCCGGACGCCTTTCAGCCTCGGCCCAGTAAAGGCGCAGCGTCGGGAGGAGAGAGCGGCGACGTGGCTCTGCTGCCGGTCGCCCGAAACCTCTGCCGGATTTTGGGGACTTCGCCGCCGCCTCGCCCGACCGGAGCCTAAGTCTCAAAGTTAGACTTGGTCAATCTGCGAGTGGACTTCGCCCCGACAGCTGATTGCCGGCGCTCGATACGACACTGTTGCTCACTCGATAAGCCGGAGAGAGGAGACCAGCTGTGCAGAGATGCGATTCGCAGCAGCGCCGCCACCAGCTGTGCGACTTTGCAGCGGCGGGGGCCTCGCACAGCTGGCGTCGTGGCCGGGCTCCAGCTGCCGACACCCGAGGCGAAAGCGAGGAAAAATGAAGGGAGCTGCGATAGAGATCAGGACGAACGGAGGGTGAGCTCGAAGCGAGGAAGGTGTTTATATAGAATCCAGCCGGGAGGTGAGTGAGACACAGCATTAAAAAAATATCGAACACCAGCTGTCCCGCGACAGGCAACACAGATGGCTCGCTTCCAAGCC